TAATCCGACTCCAAGAGTAATTATTGCCTTCCCACGGTTAATTGACTCTTCGGCTTAAAATCCAAAACTGATTTTCATTTATCTTTTCATCCTAATTTTAAAAGTTCAGATTTTCCTTAGTATACTGAATATGTATAGTAACAGCTAAATACATGCATAACTACTGGCTACCTAGCCCCTTACCGTGTTATGTTTGGATGTGGTCACACCATGTACTTCTCGTGTGACACACACACCGGTTATCAGGGTTCGTGTAACCCCGTTACACCAAGAGCGAAACCGAAAAATCTGCCGTAACTAGTTGCCTAAGTTGCTCTGCTATTTCAAAGCTGACATATGACGTGTGCTCCTCTCCTCGTCTCATCATCGGTATAAACACCAATACTTTTGTACCTATGAATATTCACATTACATAAAAGTGGAATGTGAAATTCGCACATTTCTTGTCTTCGTAAGATGTGTACATTTATTTGCACAACAGTCCTGATTGCACCCTGCTTTAAAACTATTACAAATAAAATCTCATTTGCCTAATTCAATAATGTTTAACGCAATAACCACACGATTATATTTTGTTGTCTCCTCACTATGACAGGGTACCAGAAGCTTACTGATATAGTGCCTCGTGGTCTATAGCTGAGGTATGCTGTCACACACAACCAGCCTTAACGCCATTATATGTCAAAATGCTATTGATGGTGATAAGATGCATGAACGTCTTTTCCTTTCAAAGCTGTACCTCGCAGTATTGATGCAGCTTGTATTTTATCACCAAGAGTGTTAATCACACACACATTGGCGAATCGTGATGAATTCAGGCTTTCGAGTCAGCATCAGTATTTGCCTTAGATATTTATTATCTATGTGGATGCTATACAGACGCTGGCATATTATCAGAATAATATGAGGCCAAGTTTGCAGTACGATTAGCTGAAGATATATGAATGATGTGACATTATGGCAATCTACAATCTCTCAGCGCGACTCGCAATGAAGTGTTTGGCGTTCAGCACCGATAGATAACAAGTGAGCATTATGCTGTGACGTAATGAAATCACAAAAAGTCATCAACCAGACCAAAGAAAACAAAATGACGAGTATATAATGACGCAAGTGACTTGCGTAGGTTCCTAATGCCAAAATATTCGTAGGAGTTTCCGGAAGAATTTTTTTATGGCTTTCGTCAATGCTTTTACTCCACCGTGAAACTTTGAGTATGAGGCGGCATTCTTAGTGCTGCTAGATCGTCTCGTCATGAGTGGGAGAGCGCCGTGCTTAACTCTGTTCCACGTAGGGTTCACTCCGCGTAAGTACATGACTGTATTGAAGGGCAATCGATAAACGTCCCTCACAAAAATTGTAAAAGGAGACCTCTCTTCTTGGATGTCATAGTCGCCGCTGTTTTTCTTTGCAACTGTTGAGCCTACAGGCCTCCCCGTTACGCGATACGTTCTCATCGACCGCCAGTCGTCATCCACAGTCTTCTCCTGGCTCGATTGCCTTAATCTGTTCGACGCCACCTTCTCTGTGAGAGTCTCGTGGGAGGCGACGACTTCGTCATAGCCTGATAGCAAACACGCAAGTGCTACAGTTACAATGTAGCTGAGTCGCATGATGATTCGCAGACGATAAAAATGTATTAGTGGCTATTAAAACGCACAGTTTTCCGGCCCTGCGCAGCTGCAATTCTTCAGATGATGCGGTACTTTCACTTCAAGTCGAGCTCCTACTCTCCTCTACATACCTTATAGAAAACAGCCGAATATCGAACCTGATCCGACAGATCCGAATAGTGCTGCAATCGTGCTACAACTTTCCCTTTTTATGCAGAAGGATCACCTTCCAGCAAGCGCAAGTGACGCTGACTCGATCACAGCTTACCGAAATCTTGCGGCGTGGCAGGCAAGCCATAATATAATAATTTAATACTCTTTTATTTATACAAATTCAGTACAGTTCCACGCCACAAGTCCCAAACCTTTTTGTTATACGGTATTGAGTACAATCAAGTATCCAAAATCATGGTTACTAACACATTGATACGCTTTAAAATTTATTTGTGGATAATATTACAAAAAATACAAAAAATCTGGTCTTGAAATGACCAAGAGTCTTGACGACTATCTACAATAAGTCAAACGTTCGATATAGCTACATCAAATGTTGCTTACTTTCATGTTCGTTCATGTGATATGTGCTCACAGCAGCAAACAATAGATTTCGATAAGGCCCAGTCCACAGTAAAACCCCCACAACTTGTTTATTCATTGTTAAAATCTCGTCTTGTCGTGAGGAGATGTGTCAAGGCACGCACGAGTCCCACAACATTCCTCCGATGCCTGGTATTACCAATTATTGCAATGAGATGATCGATATATTTGCCGTTACGGGTGACTCAGCAAGTGAAATATCGTGCGCTATGTTCGAAGAGAATATGTAAAAGAACGGGAATCGATCTATCATCAGTGTTTATTGCGAAATGTTAGTGTTTGAGGAGCGATTCGATCTGCTGGATAGTGAAATGTACGCACAGTAGTGGAATTGGCAAAGTGGCACTATATGAGCATAGAAAATCAAGTTTTCGTGTTGCCATCGGCTATGGCGATGAGATGGATTCAATGAAATACTTGAATATATTGCTCTTGAGAGTCAGACATACAAACCGAATTGTGCAAAGTGGGACCTGATTCTGTAGGACCCCGAAATCGATCCTGAATTGCTGTGTGTCGAGCACCATCTTGCCCATTTGCTTCATCTCTTTAGCAGCCACTTGGCAGTCCCTGGCCAAAGTCTTGTGCAATCGATGGCGTGCTATCACAGTTGCTCATGCATTCTTCTCACCACCTTCAGTACATTAATGCGCTGCCCTTAAACATTATAAGATTCGCTAGCACCACAAGTATGCGCAGTACGACCTTTTTTATCTTTGCGTCGGATCGGCGGGCGTGCATAGCGTCTTAATGCGCCGTCACATTAGACTTTATTTCTAAACATTTTGCAAAATTAGAGCAACGAACCCTGTAACAGAAGTCGCGCTTTTGCATAGAAGTGTTGCGTGATGGGAGAGCATTTGCGAGGCTGTTTGAGATTTCTTCGAAGTGCACATGCAGCTTCGTAGCGGCTGTCCGCCCTGTAGCACAATCCTTTTCAGAGCGATACTTGGAATAAATTTTGTGCTTTTTTCTGCTACTTTTGTTAGTAAGTCCAGAAGATATGCTCAATCAATCTATTGACTTTCACAAAGCATGTGTTTCGACTTGTGATAGATAAGTTGGGGCGAAATGGCCGCAAGGGTAGAAAATACATTTAATCACGTATGTTGTTAAGCACGAATGTCAATCAATGCTTCTGTTTGCTCAAGTTTCTTTTACAGTTCAGCATTACGTGACTGCGGGTCAACACACCGAATAGCCTTCTCGGTAGTACGAGTCCGGCATGTCAAATCGTGACAAAAACAGTCGTAAATCAGTGCAACCTTTGAATGAATCTTGAACTTTCTGGTGCGAACAAGCCGGCTTTCTAAACGAGTCACTTTTATTGCTTTATATCAAAAGAAGGCTGTTAAGTATAGCACGTTCGATGCAAACTGTTAGTGTGTTATTCGTGATTCACAGAATGCAACGTTCATGTTGTTCCTCTTGAGATTTTACATGCATACGGAGCTAACCTTGACGCTTTGAGGTCATATTTTGCACTTGAGGATTCTAATCAATCTCAAGATGCCTTCAGTGATATCGCTTTAAGGAAAAGTGCCACGTTCGAAATAGAATGAGCAAACCTTTATCCGATGCTTAAGAAGGCATCTTCCTTTTAATGTGGTTGTCACCATTCAGTTGATCTTACTCAGTACTATCTTCAGTCAATGTCGTGCAATTGCATATCTTGCAAGCTATGCTTTCCAGCGCGACTAGATAAAATTTAGCGGTCGCAGACGAATAGACTCGATAATGCAGAAAGTTTTCTTAACGTTGTTGTCTATCCGACATCAAAGGCATCTCTGGGTTTTGAACACGTAATTTCACAATGATTGATTATTTAGGATGGACGTACATATCTATCATGTTCTAGAATGGAGACGAGCACTTTCAATATGAATGGCTATTGTAAATTGATTCACAGCGCGTAGCCTGAAAATAGCAAAGGATAGTTTCTTACGTGGCTGACTTTAAGAACCTGTTACCACACTATTTGCTATACAAAGACCTATGTTCGAGCACGTTGACAACTAGCCTGACATGTTAGTTTTATAGCATCGGCAAGCTTAGACTCTCTCTTGTAACACCGATAGATGCTTCTTGCTTCCAATGGATCGTGTTTCTGGCAAAATCCTCGCATCCAGCACTTTTTTCGCGACAAAAGTAAACTTTGTTGATTACACTATCCTGAAACAAATGAAATTTTTGAGAGATTTTTATACTGACCAAAATTATTAGGATAGTAGTAAAGTTGGCGGAGTATATTGGCACACAGTTGACGCATATTACATCGGACTACTCTCTACAAGTGATTCTTGAAAATGCTTGACTCATAATATTACAAGCCAAAGAAGAAAATGAACAATGAGAAAAGCATACGAGCAGCTTGAGTTTAAAAATACGAATACGTTACGTGAAAACAAATTAATGTCGGAATTATTTGTAACAAGACCATAGTATTTTTGTCTTCACTATTCTTTTACCCAGGAAGATGTAATTTTATCTATTTAAGACATAAAATATTGCTTAATGTCTTTTTTATTGTTTCTAAAAAATATACCTCCACAAATGGGCATTCTAAAATTACACATAATCCTATCATAAGGCCACCATGTTTGATAGTTCTCTTCACGCAAAAATATATTTTGAGTAGTGGTTTTGCTGTTGCCTCCGTCATGGGTTCGATACCTTACGAAAATCACATTTGAACTTTGTGTGGCAGCTGATCTCTTGCCAGAGAATATTTTGATGTGGTATGTCTCGCTGTCGTACTAATACTCGCAAACGTACAAAATACTTCTTGCTGTGAAATGCTGTCGAAAGATAGCGTTTTGAGTCAGACGAATACGTGATGAATAAAAAACGTTTGTTTTTGTCAACAGTGATAGCACGAAGGACAAGTTTGGTTCCGAGTCCATTGACTATTCGGATTCCATCTCGCGCTGTGAATCAGTCCCAATATAATTGGCGAGTCGTGATTTCGACGGAGTGTAAATTTTTGGCACTGCTGTCGATGAGTTGGGTATCGCACTTACTGACTTGATGTACTAAAACAGACACTGATAGATGGTGATAGTACTAGTATTTAATTCTCTCTGTTGCAGTGCCAACAACAACTCCACCGTATTATCTAGCTATCCTCACTAGCTGTACATTCTAGAACCCTGCTAAACTTGATCGATTCTTCGATGGTAGTTGACTTAGTTAGTTTGTTTACATAATCTATGATAAATACTAAAGCAATTGTTTCCAAATTTCGAACCTAGCAATCTCATGGCGAAGATTGCCAATGCATCGATTGATGTATAACGTATAGGCTTTAGCAAAAGTATGTATATTGAAGTTTATGTAAAGTCTGTGCGTATCGATAATTCAATTTGAAAATACTACAAAGCAGAGACTTATTTTGATCAATTAAATTACTTTACACAAAACATGACTTTGGACGATAAGAACACTAGTTTTAATAATCAATCTTTTAGATGGGAACCACACTGATTTACTGAATGTACCTCTTACCATCCTGGTTGATTATTATTCGCCGTCCGCCGGTGTCCAAGGATCCGTCTCAGCGTAGTTACTGGCTTTAAGTATCTGCCATTGATTCAGACGAGCGGCAACATCTGGGAACGACTCGGTGATTGTTTGATTTAATTGCTGAAACACCGCTAGATTACCAGAGGAAGCGAGATGCAGACCGTCTGGTGACAGCATTGTGTTTCGTAAGTTCTCGTCCATAGCGTTGAAGTATGAATTGATATCAAGCACTTGGACACCAATATTCCTAGCGGTCTCCACACAAGCTTGAGCATATTGCGTCATCACCGCATTAGTACGGTCGATTGATGCGTTTATCTCTCGAGCACCCTGAGCTCTTGCGATTTCATTTATGGGTGGAGGAGTGATGAGCAAAATGTTGGCGTAGGGTGCTGCAGTCTGCAACCGGCTCACAAGTGTTTGTAAATTCTTCTTATAGTCTGCAATGGGAACATGTACATGCGCATTGTAGCCGCTCGTTAGAGATGCGTCATTCGTACCAAACCAGACCGTAATCAACGATGGGGTTTTGTAAGTGTGAGTGATTTCATACTCGACAGTGGATGGACTAATTTTCAAGAACCATTTCGTGTTGTAGCCCGGAGCCCCACGTGTTACAACTTCGCCAGAGGCAGCGTATTCGTATTGCAGCAAGGCAGCCCATCCATTATTATCGACATCTAGACCACGCTCGGTGAGTGAGTCGCCCAATAAAAATAACACTGGGCGTTCCATCATTTCTTGTGCGATGACCAGCTGTGCACCGACTATAGCAGCTGCAAATTTACGAATTAAAAGAGCCATTGTATGGAGAAAATGTTTGTGTTGTGCTTGGCAAATTGGATTGTGGTCATTCTCTGTGAAGAGCTCTAGAAGCTTGGATCGTTTAAAAGCTTTCAACTTTGATTTGTTGGCCTCTGTAGGTACTGTATAGCATGATTTGTAAACTACAAACTGCATTTTTCACAACAACATGCTTATGTGCAGCGTAGGATTTTGTCCAAAGAATACAAGACATCGTTTTTTAGCTCAGATAACGCTTTAGGTTTTATGTATGAATCCCCAGCAGCAATATGTGAAGGTCAGAAAAGGCCGAATTCTGCAGTGTGGAATTTTATCCTAAGAATACAAGACATCGTTTAGATATGTTTTGTGTATGAGATTCCCAGAACAGGCCGAATTCTTCAGGCTCATATTAGTGCGCTCATGTATCTTAAAGCTAAAAGGACATCAGCATTAACGAATAGAACATCTCCGGGTTTGTTATTTCTCTAAATTAAAGAAAAGTTATCATGTCGACAACGCAATACGTGACCATTTCTGCTAAATGGTGCATTACATTTTTTTGCCTCGCTTTTTCGTCGCCTTGATTACTTTCATACTTGCAAATGCCCATGATTAAAAAGTAACAACAGCCACGATGAAGGTTTACAATGCCGGTACATGTTTGCGTCGTACACTCAGAAAAGGGGCCGATTTAGCATTGCGCAGGGGCCATGCTAATCTTCTTTGTATCGTTCCAATTTTTACGGATGACCACCGAAGTGGTTCCTGCCGATTTAGCATTGCGACATCATCATGCATTTAAGTTTATTTCCACGTGCCTGTTTATTGCCAGGTTGTGATACGGTCTTAGCCAAGATAGACCCATGACCAGTCTATGGATGACAACTGGCCATCGCTTAGTGCCTAGAAAGACTCAGATGGTCAGCGTCTAAGTCTTTTATCTGAAAGTTTGTAAAAAAATGGTGGCTTGCCCTTCAAAGCGGTTATGTGCATACGCAGGATCGAAATCAATTATATTATAATTCAGACACTGCAGTCATGCAGTCAATGGATATGAGACAGCGTCAAACAAAAGAATGCTAATCAACCTAGGTACGAATCGCGATTT